TGGCTGGCATGTGGTGCTGGGGGATTGAACTGTGGTCCCTGTGCTTTGCTAAGCTTGTTCTGAGTAGGTGCTTTAGACCACTGAGCCATCTCACCAGCCCCAACATTCAAGAATATTAATATTTTCATATAGACACTGAAGGGAGTGTTTTTGCTAAGATATAAATCATGCATGACATTACAAGAAAGCTGAATGAGGATACTCATCACTTGATTAAGATTTCCCTGGAGCTGCTTTTTTTTCCTTTTTCTTTTTTTTTTTTTTTTTTTCAGGACTGGGGATTGAATTCAGGACCTGCGCTTGCCAGGCAAATGCTTATTCTACTGAGCTATCTCCCCAGGCCCTAGACCTGCTTTTTGAAGTGTCTAACATGAATAACACTGGAAACAACACCAGATTAGAAGAACTGTCGAATCAGAATAAACTACAGATTTGTCTGAGTTAGAGTTCTATAGTAAAATACAGCTTCTTGTTCCTGAAAGAGATCTCACTCATGAAAAACTTCAATGCCAAACAAGAAATCTTACAGATGAAAACAATTTTTTACATAAGTTATTTTTTGTTTGCTGTTGCTGTGTTTCTGTTTAATGGCACAGAGCCATTTGCTTCTACTTTATTACCAAAAAGGTACCTAAAAGAAGCAGTGTAGCCAGGTGTGGTGGTGCGCGCCTATAGTCCCAGCACTTCGGAGGAAGAGGCAGGAAGGTTGAAGTGAGTTTAAGAGCAGCCTGAACTACATAGTGAGTTAAGGCCAGTAGCTAGCCTGAACTACAGTGAAACCCTATCTTTTTTTTTTGTATTTAGTACAGGGTCTACAGGGTCTCACTACGGAGATCGGACTCATAGCGAACCTTCTGTGTTCAGCCTCCCAAGCACAGGGATTACACGCATGCACCACATCTAGTCTCAATCGCTGTCTCAGCATGCCCCAGGGGCAGGGCCCACCACAGCACGCAGGAGATCCAACCCAGGCTGCTATGTTCCACCTAAAATGAAACCATTTTTTTTTTTTTTTTTTTTTGCAGTACCGGGGATTGAACTCAGGCCTTCGTGCTTGCCAGGGAAGCACTTATTCCACTGAGCCATCTCCCCAGCCCCAGTGAAATCCTATCTTAAGGAAGAAAAAAAAGAACACAAAACTGTGTGTGTGTGTTAGCAAACAAATTGTCACTCTGGCTAATATTTTAAAGTACTTAAATCTATACCTTAGGATAGCAAGAAGAAATTGCTTATACACCTTAGGAATGCTTTTCTACCAAAAGGCCAATTCTCAATCTGAGAGTAAGTCAGAAACTATCCTGCTGACTTTCAATAGGAAGGAATTTACAAAAAGTAACACATTTAAAGGCTAATATTACTCACTTTCCTGTTGTGGTCAACTCAAGTTCAACAAGTCTCCATTTCTATTTAATCCAAGTTTTCAAACTTTAGGTAATAGAACAAAAGTAAAAAGAAAAAGTCCTACCTTAAGGCTTTCCTCAGTGTTTCTATACAGGCCACTATGATCTTGGGGTTCTTGTTGTCTAGGCCTTTCAGCAGCTCTTCTTGCACAGCCTCTCCTTTTTCAATCTCTATGTACATGAGACAAATCTCTATGCCCAGCTCCTTGGCTTTGGCTTTAGGTTGATTGAAAACTTTACTTACAACACCTGATACTACTTCTCCTGTGGTTCTGTAATATAAATGACCATCACCACACACAAAAGTCACACTTTTAATAGAACTGGATAAAGGACACTGAAAAGTGTACAAGGATTTTACAATTTTTTTTTTTAATTTTAAAGAGAAAAAGAATTTCAAAATAAGATAATAGGAAAGTAACAATGGTTTATACATACATTGTATATTATTTTAAAATTACTCAGAGTACAAAATATCAGCATTTAATTGTCCAAACAATATTAGCACAAACCTTTCTTTTGAATGAACTAAGAAATTAATGATGTATCTTTAATATATATGTATGTATGTATATTTGTTTTTCCCTTCCTTCTTTTCTTCTCCATTCTCCCATCTCAGTTTCTCTTCCCTTTTGAAGTTTCTTCCCATTTTGCAATACTTATTATACATTTTACATTTCATTTACTTTCAGCTTCTTACACTAGGGAGGAAATACAATGTTTGCATATATGCATCTGGTTTATTTCATTTATGAGTACGGTCTGAAGTTGTACCCACTTACTTATAAAAGTCTCAAATTTATCCTTCCTTATGGCTGAGTAGTATTCCAGATAGAAAATTTCCCAAGCGTGGGAAAAGAATCTGACATACAGAACTCCTTTATTTTACTTTACTTTATTTTTTTGTATTTTTTAGGGAAGGGTCTACAGGGTATTCAAGGTCTCACTACTGGATAAGACTTGTAGTGATCCACCTGTTTATAGCCTCCCGAGAGCTGGCATTACAGGCATGCACCTGGCACGGCAGACCTGGGGATCAAACCCCCAGCCCCTGCACCTGCTTTGCAGGTGCTTTAATCTCCTGAGCTATTTTTTAAATTTATTTATTTTGTGGTACTGGGGATTGAACTCAAGACTTTGCACTTGCCAGGCAAGCACTTATTCTACTGAGCTATCTCCCCAGCCCCATGCTGCTGAGCTATTTGGCTGGCCCTAGAACTTCTATTAACCATGACTAAAATAAATCTGTTATATGAAAATACCACATCTTTTTTATCCATTCCTCAGTTGATGGGCATTTGGGTTGTTTCCAAAATCTAGCTATTACACACTGTGCTGGTAAACATGGGTCCACATATATTGCTCTGGTATGGTGTTTTTAATTCTTCTGGAAAAATGCCCAGAAGAGACAAATTCTTAAAAGTAAATGAGCTTCTAATTTTTAAATGTGTATTTGAGAATATTAACTAAAAGATTTATTCTCCCCTTCTCCTCCCTCCCTCTCTTTACTCCCCCCCCACTCCCCGCCTTCTGTCTTGCTCTCACTTTCTCTGGTTGTTTTTGCTGTCTCCCTACTGTCATGAAATATTGTCTCTCTACCATGTGCCACCCTGCCTTTGAGCCAGCTGATTATGGACTGAAACCTCTACAAACTGTAAGCTAAATAAAACTTTTCTCCAAAAAACACCTTATACAATCCATAAATTTGACAAATTACACTGAACAATTTTCAGTTAATAAATGTAGAAAATTCAAAGAAAGCAAAAATTCCTTGAAATCCTAAGAAAGAAAACTCCTTTCAACCTTTTTGTATCTATTCTTCTAGTTGTTTCTGAAATGCATGTGTCTGTCTCATACATATGAATACACAAGTATGTTGTAACAAAAAAACCAAGACTGGGGCTGGAGAGATGGCTCAGTGGTCTAAAGCACCTACTTAGAACAAGCTTAGCAAAGCATCAGGGACCACGGTTCAATCCCCCAGCACCACATGCCGGCCAGCCGCGCCCCCTGGTGGGCTGAGCTGGCCACACACACACACACCACTCTCTCTCTCTCTCTCTCTCTCTCTCTCTCTCTCTCTCTCATAAATAAAAATTAAAAAAAAAAACCAAAAAAAAAAAAAAACCCAAGATTGTAGAGTGCTCACTTTTTTTAAGAAAAATCTTAAATCAATAGCTAATTCCTTCACACAAGGAAAGGGTTATATATCAACTGTATTCAACTCCTTAGTAAAATTTATAGTAACTTTAATGCTTTAAATCTCCTACATTAAATAAAATCTGGACTCCTGGGAATGAGAGGGATTAGGTAGAGTGGAATCACATGCAACATTTGTTAATAAAGTACTTTCCAATATCAGAGAAAAAAAAAGAAATTTAAAAAAGAAGAGGTTTCATTAATGGTGATGCTGTTTACACAAACTGTAAAATTACTATGTACGCTTATTGATATAATCTTTAGAGTAAGTACTTCTTTCTTGTGAAATTAAATCAAGGGTCTCAACTCTCTTTTTCTATGGGAGGTATGACATAAATACTAGAGTCAGAAAAGCCAAGTTTATGAGGTATGGGAAAATGGATGACTGGAAACTTCTACCACTTATAGCTCAAATCAATAGACAAGGAGTCATGTAGGTTGTTTAGTTAGCGCTCCCTCTAAGAAATGAGATGCCCAATAACCACAGGGAAGAAAGGGCTCTAAGATCATTTAGCTGGAAAACATTATTTATTATTATTATTTTTTTTCCTGTTTCTGTGATACTCAACCATCTTCAGTGAGATTCTGGTGACTTCTTCATTGACAACCTCAGTTTCTTCCAGAAGTTTTATTAAAGATTTTCTCACTGACCATTTTATGATTTGTGAGTAAAGACAAAGAAAACTAAGTACCAAGGAGCTATAAAGAAAATGAGTATATTCTAAAAATATTAAAAACTAAAGATCTATAAATACATATTAATTAATCTAAGTGCCACAAGAAAGAGTTTTCTACCAGAATTTCTGGGGGCAAAAATACTTACTTTCCTGCAACATGGGCATTTTCAACATAAACAAGTGCAGCTTCAAGTCCTTTCAACTGAACCACTGCATTAGAATCAGTGACAAATTTTTTGATCAATCCCAAAAATTTGGACCATTCTGGGCTCTTTTCATCTTTTATTTTCTGGAAAATTTTCAGGGCCTCTTCATATCCACTTAACCTTGCTTTCCACAGCTAAAAGAAAAGAAATATTTTGAAGCAAATTTAATGGTATTACCTGTTAATCTGGAAGTAAAGAACAGCCTACACCAAGTAATTTGAACAAAGGAACCCATGAGTAGAAAGAATGATGGATTTTAGGAATGCAGGTACATTTACAAAAAAGTTCAGTCAATAAACTTCTTAAGAATTAAAAAAATTCTACATCTTTTTTATCTGTAATGCATAGTGTTTACAATTTATTTTGGTCCTTGAATGTTTTGCAAAGGCTATATAAAATTCATAACAGGCCATTATATATGCTTTCCACTTTATATCTTTATAATATGGCACTAAAAATTTGACAACTCAAATGTGAGAAATCATCCTGGTGAAAGTGTCCATTCCTCAAAGTATGCTGTTTATTTTAATGTTATTTATATGTAGTCGTTAGGCAGCGTTATACTACAATGATCAATTTTTAATCAAAAACATTAATTTTAGTACATTTTAGATACTCTGAGTTTTATTACCTTATTCAACTGGTATTTAATATATAAATAAAAAACAGTATTAGTCTTAGCCCTTGTGGAGCTTACATCCTAGCAGTAAAGAAAAACATTAAACAATCACACAGGCCAAGCATGATGGCATATGCCTGTAATCCCAGCAGGAGGATCACTGCAAGTTTGAGACCAGCCTGGGCTGTAAAGTGAGTTGAAGGCCAACCTGAACTGCATAGCAAGGGTGTCTCAAAAAGACAAAACAGGGGGCTGAGGAGATGGCTCAGTAGAATAAGCACTTTCCCTGGCAAGCATAAGGACCTGAGTTCAATCCTCAGTTCTGCAAAAGAGAGAGAGAGAGAGAGAGAGAGAGAACACACAAAGAAAAACCCAGGGCCTGGGGAGATACCTCAGTAGAATAAGTGCTTCCCTGGCAAGTGCAGGGTCCTGAGTTCAATCCCCAGTACAGCAAAACAAAAACAAAATACAAACAATCACAGAAATCAATATAAAACTAACAAATTGTTTGGTGCTATAAAGGCCAAGTATGCAGGGGCACAAGCGCCTGCCTGGCAAGTGCAAGGTCCCAAGTTCAGATTCCCAGTACGAAAAACAAAAGGCCAAGTACATATAATAAAAAGCTATCTGTCTTAGTGCAACATTTTCATAAGAAACTAGTACTTGTTCTGAGCTGTGAAAGATAATACAGGAATTCATCAGAAAAGGTAGGCAATGGAAAAAACTTTCAGGAGAAAGACAAGTACATTTCATGGCCCTATGGCAGGAAGTTAGCACAGTGTTTCCACACCTATAAAGAGAAGAGAATGTGGTACAAAATGAACTGCACAGGATTAGAAAGAACCAGGTCACACAGTACTGTGAAGACCAAATGAAAAGTTGCTGTGTTCTTTAAGAGTGAGGGGAAGGCACTGTAATGCTTTCAGTGAGTGTGAAAAGTTAGTTTGTGGAACATATTTGAAATTATTGTTAGGCTCCAGTAGAGAATTAGGTGTCTTCCCTAACATTATTAGATCAAAAGAGAAGGGAACAGTCAACATATGATTGAAAAGTGGAAGAAATAATTACATCATTTGTTTAAATAAAATATATTTTGGAGCAGGTGTTATGTTCAGAGAAAAACCACTTTTCTTTCAAAGGAAAGAAAGCTGCCTAATCTAACATAGGATGCTTTAAGTACCTACAGCCCTTCACATTCTGCAACATTTGACTTAATTATGATATAAATTAATACTGCAAACTGTACATTCACTCATCAATTTGAACCAAGTTTAACGTTTTAATTCTTTCAAATTTCAAAAGCACAAAATAAATGCTCAATAGCAGACACATGACACCCCCCCCCAGCAAAACACACAATATTAATAAAACTCTCATATTTGCTAATCAAAAATGAGAATTTTGGGCCAGTGAAATAGCTCAGCGGACTGAGCACCTGTTTAGGCAAGTGCAGGGACTGGGATTAGCTCCCTGGCATGATGCCACACAGGCCCCACACCCAGGTGCACTGAGCCAGGTGAGGTGGCATATACCTGTAATCCCAGCACTGGGGAGGCTAAAACTGGAGGATCACTACAAGTCTGGGCTGCATAGTGAGACCCTGAACAAAATACATTTTAAAAAAAGGAATTCTTCCAAAGATTTGTTTGCTTCTTGCAGTGAAAAAAAAAAAAAAAAAACCAACATTAAAAAAAAAGTTCTCCTTCAAATTTAATGTACTACACGCCAACAATTTCTATACTAATACAATAGAAATAAATCAGCTGTTAGTCTGGCTTTATCAGAAGAGATTACATTTTTTTTAAGACAGGGTCATGCTATGCATCCACAACAATCCTTCTGTTTTAGCCCCCTGAGTGCTGAGATTACAGGCATGTGCCACCACTCCCAGTTAACATATTAATTATTATACAGGATAAAAGGGATTTCAGGCTGGCCTTGAACCTACTATGTAGCCCAGTCTGGCCTCAAACTTGAGGTGACCCTCCTACTTCAGCCTTCTGAGTGCTGGGACTATGAGTAGTTGCCACTATATCCAGTTATACATTTCTTTTCTTTTTTTTTTTTTTTGCGGAACCAGGGATTGAACTCAGGCCCTTGTGCTTGCCAGGGAAGCGCATATTTTCCACTGAGCCATCTCCCCAGCCCCTACATTTCTATTTTTCAGAACAACTTCAATTAAAAGAATTGTCAAGAACATGGAATAACCTGGGCGTGGGAGTGCACACCTGTAATCCCAACACTCAGGAGGCTGAGGCAGGAGGATCACTGTAAATTTGAGACCAGCCTGGACTACATAAGTGAGTTCAAGGCCAGTCTCAACTAAACAGTGAGATTCTGCCTTAAAACAAAAACAAAAATAAAAATAAATTTAAAAAAGAAGATGGATTAGATAACCTGAGAGATTTAAGTAAAATAAATTTACTAACTGGCTGATTTTTAAAAAATGATTTAGAAATTGCCAGGTATGGTGGTGCACAAGAAGCTAAGGCAGGAGGGTCCTGGTGAGTTCAAGGCCACCGTGCACTACATGGTGAGACCCTGTTTTTTAAAAAAAAAAGGATTAAAAAAAAATAGCAATGCCAGGGATATAGCTCAGCAGTACAACACCTGCCAGGCAAGCAAGTGGTTATTAGTTTGATTCCCAAAACCAAACCAAACAAAAAAACCAACAAAAGCAACTAGGTATGCAATTGGAGAAAAAACACAATTTGAAAAAAGATACTCAGCAAATCATAAATATTACTATATACTTAGCTAGCTATATTATACTATCTACAGTTGAAGATAAAACTACCCAGGTTATAACTTTTTAAAGATACAATTTGCTTTTCATTTTACTAATGTATCTTACTTCTTTGAATTCTTCTCATACTCAGTTTTTTTGTATTGGTTTTGGTTTTGGTCTTACTACATGGCCCAGGCTGAACTCACACTTGTGATCCTTCTGCCTCCACTGCTGAGTCTTTAAGGCTGACAAAATATAATTTAGAGGTACTGAAACTGACAATCCAAAAGTCTTACCTTGTGTTCACACTTCTGATCAACTGGCAATTTCAACCATTCACTGTCATCACCCATTGTGCTTCTAGTTTCTCCTTGGAATTAAAAGTAGTTCCTGGTCAGACAAAAGTTGGGACCTATTAACTCTAGCAATTAAGTAATTTCTTAAGACAAAATAACTTTTCTCAAATTATTAATTTATTATGCATGTACCACCAACAGTATAAAGTCCATTCTTTGGTCGGATGCCCAGTTAATGCCATTAACAGAACATTTTCTAGAAAAGAAAAAAAATCAATCTAAGTCTAAATAAAGGCACAGATACTTGTTTTTAAGAAAATATGGTTATATATTTCCCAGAAGAAAACTTAGATGTATATACAAAGCTGAATAAAGCTGAAGAACTCAAGCCAGGTGTGACTTTGCAAGCCTTTAATTCTAGCACAATGGGGCTGAGGCTGGAAAATCACAAATTTAAGCCTCACCTGGATATCTTAATAAATGAGCAAGATCATATATTAAAATAAAAAAGCTGGGGATGTAGCTCAGTACAAGGTCCTGGGCTCAATCTCTAATACTGTATACAAACTAACAAAGAGCCGAGCTACTACTTGGCTTTTTAAAAGGCACCGAGACCAAAATATGCAATGCCCAAATGTATTACACTTTGACATAATTCTATTTGGTTCAGAGAAAGTTCAGAAACAGGAACAGGGGCTGGAGAGATGGCTCAGTGGTCTAATGCACCTACTTAGAACAAGCTTAGCAAAAGCATCAGGGACCGCGGTTCAATCCCCCAGCACCACATGCCAG